CGGAGTGGTTTGGCGACGCTAAGCTCTCTACCCGGCCATGCCTTTGTCCTTGCCTTTAACCGTCTCCCACTTCCCGCAGCTAACAACCGCCTCCGAACACATCGGATCGGCTTGAACATCATGGACCAAGGCATCATTAGTTGTAACAACAACGAGTCCCCGCTTTGGAGGCACACCGGCGCCCGACGCTAATCCAAGTAGTAACATTGGCGACTGGCGCCGAGCCAAGAGTAGCATTGGCCGTAGGCACTCGGCCCTCGGGCGAGTGCTTGGCGCAATTGACGAGTTGAATGCCCCAAAACATGGCGAGCCTTGCAATGGGTGGGCGAGTGTTTCATAAATGACAAACTAAAGTAGCGTGGAACCATTCGGAAGCCCAATGTTAACAACTCTCGACAAATCCTCCATGATGTTCAGCTTCAACCAAGACCCTAGCATAGGATATTCATTCCATGGTGGTCGTTAAGCGATCACATTGAATGGGTTTCCCAAGAACACTAGCAATTTTAGAAAGGCACAACAGGGACCAGCATTTAAGGGGAAAGTCCAAATATTTCACCCAAACCGGCACTATAGACATTTCCTCGCTGGAGAAGTCAAAAACTTCGGGCATAGGCTTCATGAGTAACGGTTTGCCAAAGACTAAGTAGGGGCCCCCATTAAGCACCGAAGATTTAGCCTCCTCGGATTCAAAGCTCTTTTTTTTAATTTAAATGTAAGCATACAAATCGAAGGAAACTAAGTCGGAGAACCAAGCATAAGTAGCATATACAGGATATACAAGAATTGGGAACAGGCTCCTAAAAAACCTAAAGCAAAAGAGCTAGAAACTAAAAGTTGTTCAAGGAATCCGACATAGTAGATTCCAAGAAAAACCCTCAACGAACTAATCTAGCTAACTGGAACCATGTACATAGGCTCAACAAAGATACAAAAATTTAGCCGAAAGGAAAAAAGGGCGATCTAACAATATACAAAACCTAGCTATACACACAGATTTAACAAAATCGGACGCAACGAAGCACGAGGATGTAGCGAGAGGCTAGCGCTAGCTAGGCTACCAAAACAAACGGACTGAGTAAACCGAGCAACGACGTATTCATAAGCTAGAGGAGGATAGCACCAACTAAGCGGACACTCGAAGGAGCGAGACGAAACGAGTAGCATCTATGCCAAGCCACCACCATGGGAAAACAAGAGAACTCTTTACACCAAACCATCGCCCACGACCAAGTAACGACCAAGCCTCGGTAGGACAAGCAAGCCTAACCAACATCTAGAATAGCAGGATCCCTTTGGTGATAATAAAAGATCATGAAGAAAAGAATTTGGAACCTCCCGAAAGTATGGGCAACCGATCTATGGGTTACCTCAAAGATCCTCCGATTTCTCTCCCCCATACGAGGTAAACAAGCAATGCTTAACGAAACCCGTTTCATCCTTGAAACCTAGTTTTACCTCCGGTAGATAACCTTCTAACGAAGACTCAAAAGGGAGGTCATTCCTCGAGTCGGATGTAACCACCGTTTGATCCGAGACCATAGAGACCAATACCGCCTACAAGCAAAGAAGAGGTGATTGTGGGACTCCTCATCATGGTGAAACAGGGGACACAAGGGATCCTCGTGTATATAGTGAAGTCGATCTCTCGGTTCTCAACTTACCTCTAATAGCCAACCGGAGAATAAAAACATGTTGTGGTAAGGACCATTTATCCCAAACAACATGGACCCATTGTACTCGGACCCCTTTCGGCCTAAAATGCTTATAAGCATGCTATGTGAAATTCCCATCCTTGTCTTGCCAACTATGCATCATATCAATGACCTACACACTATCCTAATCTACTAGACTAACTCCGCTTTTCATAGCAGTTGATTGATTTCCACAAAGGAGAGGCTTGTTTGTACGCCCGAGTCTCCCACACCGAAGATCATGAAGATAATGGTGATTCACCCATTGAATCCAAACCGAATCGGACTTGAGGTGAATATCCCAATGCAGCTTTGCAATGAAGGAAGCATTTGGGATTTGATATCAAAAAGCCTCATACCACCCTCCTTCTTAGGACAGAGATATACTCTTCTAAGAAACTAGGGAATTGCTAAATTTTTTGAATCCCCCGACCAAAGGAAGTTCCTACGAGATGCCGACAATGCTAGATATAATTGTAGAGGGAAGGGAGAAGATAGATATCCAAAACTCGGATCATGCCAATCAAAACCGATCGTAATAACTCCAATCTTTTAGCAAAAGAAAGATGCTTCCCCATCCAACCTTGAATAGTGCCCTCAAGTCTCTAAATAAGTGGATAAAACCGGTCGGCCGATAATCTATGTGGACTAAGAGGGACTCCCATGTAACGAAAGGGAAAGGTACCTTCACCGAATCCCGAATCTTGAATAATAGCAGTTCTCGGGCTAGTGCCGACTCCCCCAAAATAAATAAAAGACTTGGCGACATTAGTGGCCAAGCCCAAAACCCTACCAAAATCATTCAATCGGCCAATCAAACAATGAACCGATCGCCTATCACTATGGCATAACGGAAGAACATCATCCACAAAGGCAATATGGCCGACACATCGAGCCCCACATTTCGAGTGAAATATGAAACTCTCATGCGCAGTAGCAAGCCCAAGCATGCGAGAGAAATACTCCATGTAAATAATGAAGAGATAGGGTGACAGAGGGTCACCTTGCTCGAAGCCCAGTCTTTCCCGGGAAGAACCCAAAGAGCCTACCATTCACAAGCAACCAAAAAAGAAGTAGACCCCACACAAGCCATAACCAAGGTCACAAAGAAACTCAAAAAACCATTCTAGAGAAGAACAACTCTTAGAAAATTCCACCGAACCGAATCAAAAGCCTTAGAAAAATCCACTTTAACCAAACAACGTGGAGAGGCTCGCTTCCTTCCATAATGTCGAAGGAGCTCCCGCACTAGGTGGATATTATTAGACATTTTCCTTCCCCTAGGAAAGCATTCCGCATGGGGCTTACAATGCCAAGCAAGGCCCGAGCAATTTTGGAAGAGAGAAGTTTGGAAATGACTTTGTAGATAACATTACAACAAGAGATAGGCATAAAATCGATCAGCACGAGTAGCATTGGAAGATTTGGGAACCAAGGCTATTATGGAGTGATTAATGCGCTTCAACAACTTCCTCGATGAGAAAAAGTCCCTCACGGCTAGACGAAATCAGCACCTATAATGTCTCATGCCATTTTGAAGAAAAGCGAGGAGAACCCATCCGACCCGGAGCCTTATTGCTATCTATATCAAAAACTACCTTTTTGATCTATTCGTTAGACACGAGTCGAGCAGACATGTCTTGGGTGAATTGATCTAAACAAGGACCGGAGGCAATGATAGCCGAATCCAAAGGTAAGGCATCCCTAACCGAACCAAGGAGGTTCTTAAAGAACCCTACAAACTCCTCGCCCACAGCATCAACTCGAAGTGGTGACATGGCCATCACAACCCCGCACAGCCGACTATGAAATTTCGCTTGTGATTCGGACCCATAAGAGCATGAAAGAATTTGATGCCTCTATCATAGTCTTGAAGGAACTTATACTTTAGCTTCGAACAAAGAAGGATTTTTCCACGAGCTTTAAGGTTGAGCACATGAAGCCTTAAGCTTCTCTCCTCGCCTAGAAGATGAGAGTTATCTCCGTCCTACTCGTAAAGCCTTTTGGTTGAGCCGGAGATTAGCTTCTACTCTAGCTACCCTCTCGTAAATATGACCGTAATGTAACTTATTCAACTCTTTCAAAGGTCTCTTCAACAATTTAAATTTCGCAAAAGACAAACATAGTAGTTCCCCGGATATTAGCTTGCCAATGCCGCCTAACAATATGCAGGAAATGATCATGAGAAGTCCACATGTTAGAGAACTTGAAACAAGTCGGCTTAGGGGTGGTCGGCGATTCAACTGGATGGAAGCCATAGCATGATCGAAAAAGCACCGGGTGTGCTTGAAATGGACAAGAGTAGGCGATCGAAGGGTGGCCCATAGGGGGTTAGCTAGAACTCGATCAATCTTTGTCCAGTACAGTACCTCCATTCCATGTGTAGTGATTGCCTATATAGCTTAGGTCACTCAAACCCAAATCACTACAACAATCTCTAAAATCCGAGGTTTCATAGGTAGAGACAGCGCCCCCATTACATTTATCATCCTAAGAGAGAACCGAATTGAAATCCTCCAAAATAATCCACGGATAATTCGGATCCCACCTACGAACGTCATCCCATAAAGCTTTCCTGGCGAGAAAGGGTATTAAACGCATAAACAAAAGTGGCATTGAAGCCGTACTCGCTCAATAAGACTTGAGATTCTAACGTTCAACCCTAGAGGAGAGATATGCGTAAAATCAAGCAAAACTATCTTGGGGTTCCAAAGAACTACAATGCGAGCATATGGAGCAACCGCAACATTAGAGAGAATATTCCAATCCTTAATCCAAAGTTTGTGCATTTGACCAAGTTTTACCATGCTATGCTTCATTTCAACAAAAGAACACACATCAACCTTTTTCTTTTTCATAAGGCCTGCAGACCTTATATTGCTTCGGGGGTTGTTGAGGCTCTTGACATTCCGGTAGTATATTAACATACAAGAGCCGATGTGGTAGGCGTGCACCTATCGCCACTCCGAGTTTGCACTCCCCTCTCCTAGTGATCACCCTTTTGGAAGCTCGATCTTTGCCAACTCCGCTACTAATCCGATTGGCGGCCTTATGAGTAGGAGAAAGTACCATCCCCGGATGGGCTACCTAGCCAAACCTCGGCCTACCTTAGTGGCACCTAAAGCGCCACCCCCGTTACCTTCCATTTCCCTTTACCAAGCCTCATGTGCCGAGTTTGAAAAGTAGTAACTTCCCGAACATTATGGGACACATTGTGCATCGTGTCGATAGTAGTAATTTGGACTCGTTATGGCGAGTATCATTCTGCTGCAGTCGGTGCCGCTAGGGGCTAGTGCGATAGAGGCGTCATGTCCCGCAAGAGGTCGCTTCAACCTTCGTCATTTCTCCCAACTCGTTCCCAACCATCGAATTGCCAGCAAGCTCAAAATGCATAGGGTCATACCTCTCGGCTCGAACATAGGAAGTAGCTACAACGGACGACCTAAACCCGTTAGATCGATTTCCTTCAACCTCAACATCCGTAGCCCTCTTCGCTATCTCTATAGATTTAGGGGGTGCTACTTTGCATCTAGAAGTCACATGTCCCAAGACCTTGCAATGTTTGCAGTGAATAGGTATCATTTCATAGATCACGGATTGGAGCGAGCTTAGACCCATTCGGGAGATCAATGCCCACCACCCCCGGGAGGGCATCCATGATATTCATCTTAATAAGAATGCGAGCAAAGGAAATTCTATCCATGGAGGTTTTCAGTCTATCACATTGTATTGGTTTCCCTAGCAAACTTGTTATCTTAGATAGGCTCTCGATGGACCGAGCATTTTAAGGGAAGCTAGGGGAATTTCACCCACACGAGAACCGTTGACATATCCTCCGGTGAGAAGTCAAAGAATTCCAACATTGCGTTCAAAATCAAGGGCCTCCCATAGATCAAATATGGGCCACCATTCAACACCTCTAGCTTCTCTACCTCGAATCAAATTGCTATACCGACCATCCGAGTCATGCATTGTCAATTTGGCTTTACATTTCTAGGAGGTAGCAATAATAGCATTAAGAGCCCTATAACCCGGGGTTTACCGACCACATAACCCACCAAGCATAATTGCCACACATCATATTATGAATCCTTAGCAAGCAGAGCACATTCCTTACTTTCCGTAATAGTGGAAAAGTGTGTGAGTTTGAGGCAAAAATTAGGACTACGGTTGCTCACAAATAAGTTTTGCCAATTAGTCTTTGGGGGATGATCACTTACAAGGGGAGTAGGTCCAAGCATTTGTCTCGTGCAATGCCGATGGTTCCGGAAGATAGGCATCCTTGGAAAATCCAACTACATTGGTACTCATCAATATAGCATGGGCTGGCACAACACAATTTAGTCCTCGAAGAATAAGGTTGGGGGACTAATGGAGCAACGAATGGGGGCATCAGCATTTGCAATGGAAATTAGGCTCGCATTTTGTGTAGGCTTATTCGGAGCCTCCATCAAATAGGTGGTGTGTAAGGTACCGGCCTCCTAGGTCCTCATGATTGCACTTTGGTGGGTGCCCAAATGCAAATCGCCTCCGTGTTGAATAGAGTTAACCAAACTGGAACCGATTTGTTGAGCATCAATGGTGTCAACGGGACCCAATGCATGAGGGGGGTCCGAAAGAGTTTTGACTAAGAGGGAGGTGCCACTTCGAATCCGAAGAATCTGCTTCTACCTTAGTGAAATCATCATCATCCGAGCGGTCCCCAACCTCCACTAAGTCGGGAGCGGGAGTTGGGTCGGGCTTGTTGGAAAGTCCAGTTGCCCCGACTTTACTAGGAACCGAGTGAGAAGATGTGGGAACCGAATGATTCGGAAAAGGAACAGGTGCCTATGGAGCTTCTAGGGCATTGATTGGAGCCGCATATGCTTGCCTTTAGGGAATCTTTGATGGCCGAGCAGACGATTTCTTTTTCTTTTTAGCCATAGGATAAAAAAGTGACACATGATTTGGGGAAGAGAGGATAAATGGTGAGCAGGGGAGGGAATACACGGGGAGGAGAAAGATGGGTGAAGAATGGGATGGAGAAGAGAGAAGTTAGGGAGTTCGATCGGTAGTGTGCCGGGTTTGGAGGGAAAGACCTCCATAGGAGGAGGAGAGAGTCTCTCTCTTCTTTCTCACTTTACACTACTATTCAAAGCTCTTTCTTTTTTTTTAATTTAAATGTAAGTGTATAAATCAAAGAGAAATTGAGATGGAGAACCAAGTAGAAGTAGCTTATACGAGATATACAAAATTGGGAAAAGGCTCGGAAAAACCCAAGAAAAAAGAGCTAGAAACTAAAGGTTGTTCAAGGAATATGACAAGTGAAGATTCCAAGAAAAACCCCTTAATATACTTAACTAGCTAATTAGAACCATGTATAGAGGCTTAGCAAGCATAAGAAAAATTTTTACCGAAAAGGCCCCAAGGAGTGATCAAACAAATTCCAAAACCAAGCAATACACGTAAATTGAAAAAGCAAAAACTCGGATTGGAGTAGTAGCACTCGAGGCCGAACAAGACCCGAAGATAGGAGGGTAGGCCTAGCCACATTAGGCCGCCAACCTAAATGAGGACTCGGCAGAGGTTAGCCAAGACTAGGTTACCAAAACAATCGGACTAGACAAAGGTGAATCCCCGAGCCAAATGAGGAAAGCACACACTAGGCAAAAGCGTAAAAGGGCGGACGAAGCGTGTACGACCAAGCCAAAGCCACCACAACGAAAAAAACACTAGCCCACCAAACCCATCAACCACGGCCCATGTGTCGCCCACGGCAGAGAGCTTGCAAGCCTCCAAGAGCGAGAAGCCTATCCAACGACCAAAATAGTAGGCTCCTTATGATGATAATAAAATATCATGAATAACGGGATTTGGAACCGCTTGAGGGTGTGGTCAACCGATCTATGGGTGTCCTCAAAGATCCTCCTATTTTGCTTCCCCCATATGAGGTAGATCGCAATGCTTAGCGAGACTCGTTCATCCTTGAAACCAAGTTTTTTCATCATATAGATAGTCCTCTAACGAGCATTCGGAAGAGTAGTCGTACCTCGAGATAGATGTAACCACTATTTGATCCGAGACCCTAAAGACCAAGACCAACTACAAACAAAGAATAGTTGATTGTGGGACTCCTCATCTTGGTGACATAGGGGACACAAGAGATCCTCGGCAATATATTAAAGCCGATCTCCGGTTCTCAACTTGCCCCTAATAGCCAACCAAAGAATAAAAGCATGTCGTGGTAAAGACCATTGTTCCCGGACCATATGGACCTAGTTTACCAAGACACCTTTTTGTCGAAAATGCTCATAAGCATGCTCGTGTAAAGTTCCCATCCCCGACTTGCCAATTATGCATCATATCAATGACCTACATACTATCCATATGCTTCTAGACTAATCGACCTTTTAGAGTAATGATTGATTTCCACAAATGGGAGGCATGTTTGGGGGCATGAGCCTCCCACACCGAATGGTCATGAAGATAATAGTGATTTACCCATCGAATCCAAACCGAATCGGACTTAGATATAGATCCCAAAGTTGCTTAGCAATAAAAGAGGCATTACGAGATTTGATATCAAAGAGTCCCGGACCGCCCTCCTCCTTGGGGCGACGGATATGCTTCCAAGAAACCGAGGCGAGTGCTGAATTTATTGCCATCGCCCGACCAAACGAAGTTCCTACGGATGCCGACAATGCTAAATATAACCATAGAGGGAAAAGGGGAAAGATAGATATCCAAAACTAGATCATGCTAGTCAAAACTAACCTTAGGAGCTCCAATCTATCGACAAAAGAAAGGTGCTTCCCCATCCAACCTTGAATATCACCCTCAAGCCACCGAAGAAGCGGATAAAACTAGGCGGCCGTAGCTTATGCGAAATAAGAGGGATGCCCAAATATCTAAAAGGAATGATGCCTTCACCGAAACCCGAGTCTTGAACAATAGCAGTTCTCGGACTATTGTTGACTCCCTCAAAATAAATAAAAGACTTGGATGCATTAGTGACAAACCCCAAAATCCAACCAAAAGCGAGTGAGTTGGCCAATCAAACATTGAATCGACCGCCTATCCCCATGGCATAAAAGAAGAACATCATCCGTAAAGGCAATATGACTCATACAATGAGCCTCGCATTTTGGGTGAAAACCGAACCTCTCTCGGCCAAGTAGCAAGCCCAAGCATGTGAGAGAAATACTCCATGCGGATAATGAAGAGATAGGGCGAAAGCGAGTCCCCTTGCCTAAGCCCACTCCTCCTCGGGAAGAACCAAAGAGCTACCATTCACGGCTATCGAAAAAGAAGTAGACTCAACACAAGCCATAATCAAGGTCACAAAGAAACTCGAAACCCAAGTTGGAGGAGAACGATTCTCGGAAAAGTCCACCGAACCGAATCATAGGCCTTGGAAAAATCCACTTTAACTAAACAACGTGGAGAGGCTCTCTTCCTTCCATAAAGTCGAAGGAGCTCCCGCACAAGGTGAATATTATCCGACATTTTCCTTTCCTTGAGGAAAGCATTCTACATGGAGCTTACAATGCCACTCAAAGCCCTAGAAATTTTGGAGGAGAGAAGCTTGGAAATGACTTTGTAGATGACATTACAACAAGAATAGGTCGAAAGTCGGTCATCATAGTAGCATGGGAAGATTTGGGAACCAAGGCTATTATGGAGTGATTAATCTGCTTCAACGACTTCCCCAATGAGAAAAAGTCCCTCACTCGTTAGACAAAAATCAGCACCCACAATGCCCTAAGTCGTTTTATAGAAAAGCGAGGAGAACCCATCCGGCCCCGGAGCCTTAGTGCTATCAATATCAAAAATAGCCTTTTTGATCTCATCATTAGTCACAGGAGAAAGCGACATGGCTTGAGTGACTTAGTCTAAACATGGACTAGATGTAATGACATCCAAAGCGAAAGGCGGAGTATCCTTAGTCGAACCAAGGAGGTTCTTAAAGAACCCTACAAATTCCTCTCCCACAGCATCAATTGAAGTAGTAACATGGCCATTACGCCCCGAACCGTGGCTATATAGTTTCGCTTCGATTTTGACCCATAAGAGTGTGAAAGAATTTTGTGCCTCTATCACGAGTCTTGAAGGAACTTATACTTTAGCTTCGGCCAAAAAAAAGATTTTTTGTCGCTTTGAGGCGGAGCACCCGAAGCCATAAGCTTCTATCCGCATAAAGAAGATGAGAGTTATGTCGATCATTCCGTAAAGCTTCTTAGTTGTGCTCGAAGATCTCGCTTTTGCTCTAGCTACACGTTCGAAAATATGACTAAAATGCAACTTATTCAACTCTTTCAAAGGTCGCTTCAACACTTTCAATTTTTGACAAAATACAAACATAGGAGTTCCCGGATGTTAACTTACCAATGCCGCCCAACAATGTGAAGGAAACTATCATAAGAACTCCACATGTTAAAGAACTTGAAATAAGTCGACTTAGGGGGACTCGGGTATTAAGCTCGGATAGAAGCCATAGCATGATCGGAGAAAGCACTAGGTGTGTTGAAATGAACAAGAGTAGACGACTTAAGAGTGGCCCAAAGGGGGTTAGCTAGAACTCGTCAATCTTGGTCCAAACAATTCCTCGATTCCAAGTGTAGTGACTACCTACATAGTTTAGGTCACTCAAACCCAACTCACCGCAACAATCTTGAAAATCCAAGGTATCATAAGTAGAGACGACCACCACATTGCATTTATCCTCATGAGAGAGAACACAATTGAAATCCCCCGAATGATCTATGGATAATTTGGATCCCACCTACAGAGGTCATCCCATAAATCTTTCCCGGCGAAATAGTATTAAACGCATAAACAAAAGTGGCATGGAAGGAGTACTACTCAACAAGACTAGGGATTCTAACATTTAACCCTTGAGGAGAGACGTTGAGGCAATCAAGCAAAACTATCTTGGGATTCCAAAATACAACAATACGGGCATATGGAGTAACCTTAACATTGGAGACAACATTCCAATCCTTAAGTCGAAGTCTATGCATGTGGGCAAGTTTAGTCATGTTAAGCTTCTTCTCAACAAAAGAACACATATCAACTTATTTTTTTTTCATAAGGCATGCAGCCTCATGCCGCTTCAGCCGAGTTGTTAAGGCCCCCGATATTCCAAGCAGTATATTAACATACGAGAGCCGTGATGGTAGGCTCCCGCCTACTACCACCTCTAGTTTTCACCCCCCACTTCGAGTGGTCACCCGCGTAGAAGCCCTTGCTTAACCATCACCTTTACTAGTCCGATCGGCGACCCCATGAGCATAAGGAAGAACCAACGCCTTAATAACTACTTCTATCGGGATAAGGTTCTCAACCAATCTCTCAAGGCTAGGTGGGCCAATATGGCTAGTAGCCGCAGCGAAGGCTCCGCCTAGTCCCCGTTGACTTCCTCTATATCACGTGGTGCACCTCCAACCGTTACCTTATCTTTCTCTTTTTCCAATCCTCTTAGTGTTCAAAATTGAAGTTTCGACCGAACAATGCAAGTCCCATGCCGCACCGAATCGGTAGTAGCCATCGGCTCCGTGACGGCAGTAGCATTCCGCCTTGGGAGGGATTGTTGCTAAATTGGTACAACGAGTAGCACCCTAGTTTATAAGCAACCGATTTAGCCCTCTTCCCTTTCTCCCGATCGTTTCCCAACCATCAAAATTTCCAACAAACTTAGAATGCATGAGGTCAAACCTCTCGGCTTGATAATTGGAAGCAATGGCATCGACTGACCTAAGCCTCGCTAGCCATGCTAGCCCGTGCTCGATTACCTTCATCCACAACTCGCAATAGCCCTCTTCTCTATCACTCTAGATTTAGGGGGAACAAATTTGCAATTGGAAGTCACATGGCCCAAGACTTTGGAATGTTTGTAGTGAATTGGCACCGTTTCATAGATCACATATTGGAGTAACTTGGACCCATTTGGCGGATCAATACCAACCTCCCCCGGAAGGGCATCCATGATGTTCATCTCAATAAGGACCCGAGCATAAGAAATTCTATCCATAGAGGTTGTAAGTCGGTCACATTGTATTGGTTTCCTAAGCAAACTTGCTATTTTAGATAGGCTATTGGTGGACCAACATTTTAAGGGGAGGTTGGGGAATTTCACCCACACAGAACCGTTGACATATCCCCCGATGAGAAGTCAAAAAATTCGACATAGATTTCAAGATCAAGGGCTCGCCATAAATCAAATATGATCCACCATTCAACACCTCTAGGAATTTGCAATAATAGCATTCGAGCCCTATAACTAGGGGATTTGCCGACTACATAACCCACTAAGCAAAATTTCCACACATCATACTATGAATCCTCCACAACCAAAGAACACTTCGACTTTCCGTGATAGTGGAGTAGTGTGTGAGTTTTGGACGAACGTAGGACTATGGTTATTCACAAATAAATTTCTCCAATTAGGCATTGGGGGAGGAACACTTACGGGGTAAGGAGGTCCAAGTAATAGCATTAGGCAAGGCATGAGGGACCGAAAGGCAAGCTTCTTTGAATAAGCCAACCGTATTTTCACTTATCAATACATCGTGGGCGGGCTCGTACAATTTAGACTCGAAACAGATCGGCAAGCTAATTGAGCAAGACTACGAGTACTCGTATTTACACTCGAGCGTAGTGTCGCATTATAGGAAGACTTATTGGGAGTCCCCATCAAACAGGTGGTGGGCATGGTGCCGGGCACCCGGGTGGGCTCGATTGCACATGGATGGTTGCCCAAACACAAGTCTCCTCGGTGCTCGAATAGAGTTCGCTAGGCCGGAACCGACTTGTTGGGCATCAAGGGGTTCAATTGGACCCAAATCGGAGGGGGTCTAGAAGAATTTGGACCGAGAGGTAGGATCCCCTTCGGAATCCGAGGAATCTAATTCAACCTTAGTGTCCGCATCCGAGTAGTCCTCAACCGCCACCGAGTTAGAAGTAGGAGAGGGGACAGTGTCCGTGTAAAACTCCGGTGTCTCTAGCGTGGTGAGAAGTCGAGGGGGAATCCACATTATGTCGAACGGTTGCTAGGGCTATGATGGGAGCCGCATAGGCTAACCCGGATGAAGACGTGGATGACTTAGCAGTAGGTTTCTTTTTCTTTTTAGCCATAGGAGAAAGAGATGGACATAGGATTATGGGAGGAGAGAATGAAAGGTGAGCAAGGAAGGGGAATCACGGGAAGGAGGAGAGGGAGTGAAGAACGGGATGGGAGGAAAGAGAATAGGGAGTGCCGATTAGCGGCGTGCCGCATTTGGAGGGAAAGGTCTCCATGGGAGGAGGAGAGCGCCTCTCTCTTCTTTCTTTCTCCACAAGACTGGAGCTCTTTCCTATTTCAAAGCTCTTTCTTTTTTTGATTTAAATGTAAGTGTATAAATCAAAGTAAAACCAAATGGAAAACCAGCAAGTAACATATACATGATTTACAAAATAGGGACGAGCTCCCAAAAAGCCGAACTAGAGCTTTACCTAGATGGTTGCTCAAGGAATCAACCTAGCAGAGATTCCAAGAGAAACCAAACAATGAACTAAGAAGAACCTAGCTAGGACCCTTTACAAAAAGCTTAACAACTTACAAAACCATTGCTGAAAGAGCAAAAAGGAACAAAGTCTAACCATGTACAAGCAACATTGGATACAACCCAGTAGAGATCAACATACAACCCAAACGAGAGCGATTGGGCTCGCCTTGCCAAGAACAGGTGGGGCAGCAGAGCCTACCCAAAGAGCGTAGCAGGATCATGAGCAAGCAAGAGTAGCGAGCAAGGATCGAGCCTTAATCAACCAAGAAGGACGGCCTAAATCAAGGCCGGCCAACGTCACCAAGCATTAGGAATAGGAACGAGCAAAGCCTCGAGCAGCTCGACACCGGAAAACCACAAGGAAAGGCTAGGCAGCGGACAGAGGCGAGTGAGATCGGGGAGCAATAGCCCAACAAACCCCAATTACACCCTTACAAGCATAGGCCGGGCCGTGGCCTTGCAAGAACAGCGAGCTATAACTTAAACAAGTAGTAGTTGGGCTTGCCTTGCCAAGAACAGGAGGGCCAGCAGAGCCCGCCCAAAGCGAGCAAGAGCAACGACTGTGGCCCGGCCATAATCGCCCGAGAATGACGACCCTAGCCGGTACTATCGGACATGACCGAAGCGAGGAACGGTAGAGCCTCAAGCAGAAGATAGCAGAGGCGGTGGCCTAGCAAGAATAGCAGCTACAACCCGGCATGATAGCGCAGCGGCACAAGTGGGGGTACGGCGACCGAATGACCTAGTAGGGCCGCCTGTGTGAAGCTAGCGGACGTGACCGAGTGGAGGGAGTATATAGAACCAAAGCGACCACTTGGAGAGAAGGACGCACCCAAGCTTGAGAACATGGGGAGAGGAGCAAGAGAGGCTTGACGAGTAGTACAAAAGCTAGGGGAGGCTAGAGGAGCGTCAACCGAAACAGCCCTCACTACACCCGAAGTAGAACTCAAAGACATGCAGAGGACTCGACTGGTGGCGAATTTAAAACCAAAAGGCAAGAACCATCGAAGTAGAAAGCCAGCGACAGAATGATATAATTCCCCCGCAATTCTCGAGATAAAGGGTCGCCCCTCTATCTCTCCCATTTATCGGGCGAAGATTGTAGAGCATGGCCCAGCCGTAGGTAGAGGCAAAATCAAGAAAGTAGTCGAGCCCAAAATGGTCTAAATCTCACAAGACGTAGCCGAATCTCGCAGTGGAGATAATACAACCGGGGAGCAATTAACGAAACTACGGATACGCACCCAAAGAGCGTAGCGAGACCGGGAGGAAGCGGTGGTCAACGACGAAGAGCCTAGCCGTACCGGCCGAAAAGGTCCGCCCCGCAGTGGAGATAATACAACCGGGGAGCAACTAATAGGAACCACGGATATGCACCCAAAGAGCACAAGCGAGATCGAGCGAGATCACAAGCAGCCTACACCGGGAAGGCCATAAGAAGAGGCTACGCAATAGACGAAGGGGAGGAAGATCATAGGAGCAACGGCCAATCGGACCCCGATTGCACCGTATCGCCCTAGCGAGGCCGTGGGCTTGCAAGAGCGAGCAGTGACACCCCGGAAAGATAGCGTAGCAGAGCACTCAAACAAAAATAGAGGGGAAGGTAGGCGGACCGAACGACCTAGTAGGCCCGCCCAAGTGAGGCCGGGAGACATAATCAGCGGAGGGAGCGAGACACAACTAAAAGCAGCCTCTCGAGAGAGGAACGCAACCAAGTTAAATGACATAGGGAAACAACGAAGAGAGACTAGACGAGCAGTGCGGAAGCCAAGGAAGCCTAGAGGAGTGCTAGTCGAAACGGACCCCCACTACGCCCGAAGCATAATTCAAGGACATGGTAGAATCATTCAGCGGACATCCGAACCCATCCACCAGCCCAAAGATTGTTTCACAGTACGACGGAGGCCTCATGCATCGAATAGAGGCCGCAAAACCCCGAAAATATGAGCACCCAAAAACCCGAATAGGCCAACATTCGCAGTGATCCTACATGCGAGTAAGGAGGGGTTTGATTCATGGAAATAATAAATCATGTAGAACATGATCCGAAATTTTCAAAAAACTTGATCCATCGAGTTTGATACAGCCTTCAAATACACGCCCGTTGCGTTCTTCTCGCATCAAGTAAATGGTGAGACCGAGTCCAACTCTCCTCATTCTAGCTTCAAGATTATTACGCCTATTGGAGAGGCCGCGGAGAGCGCTATAAAGAGTTGACAAACCTCCGTTAATGCGGGGCCGGCGTTTAATGTTCAACCGGAGGCCTCGCCGCCCAAACACAAGAAAAGAACAAATGGCCGTGTGATTCAAGGCCTTGACCACGTAAAAGGTAGGTTTCGCTAGAAGGGATAACCCGAAGACGATCCTTAGTTTTTAATGCTCCTCGCCCCGCCGACCAAAGGATAAAGGGATGCCTCGGTATGGACCAAGATTCCCAAACGAACGGGCCCAACTCGTAGGGGTCATTTCGGGACAAAGATGAGCATAGGCTATACGGAGAAGCTACCCCCTATAGGGTGCCATTGGCCTAGTTCACGAATAGTTATCGCTTGGGTATGATATTTCTAGACAAGGAGATCTTTCAAGTCAATCACCGCTTTCCACAAAGGTGAATCGGTTCGACGGGCATCAACCTCCCTAATTCGACGATCATGCAAGTAATAATGGTGGACCCATCGGATCCGGAGGGAGTCGAATTTGAGGTGAATGTCCCATAGACACTCGGGTTAAAAAGCTTTGGTTCTTCACTTTAATGTCTAGCGAGGCCTAACCCGCCTTGGTCTTAAGGGAGGCGAGAGACTTTTCCAAGCCATTGAGGTCGAAGAGCTTCGACGGGCATCCCCGTCCATAGAAAGTTGCGGCACATACTAATAATGCTAGTAATAACTCCAGCAGGTATAGGAAAGATTGAAATCCAGAATTGAATCATACCATAAAGGATCGATTGCAAGCAACTCCAGCCTATCCGAGTAGGAAAGATGTTTACCTATCCAGCTACGAATGGCGGTTTCGAGACTATGAAGCAAAGGAGCAAGCCGACTAGCAAGTAATCGATGTGGGCTTAAGGGGACCCCCAAGTATTTAAACGGGAAGGAGCCCTCGCGAAGCCGCGTTTCAAGGAGAATAGCATTTTTCCGAGTCCCGCCCACCCGTCCAAAGAAGATCGGTGACTTAGCCATATTGATGGTCGGGCCCGATGTGCGGCCGAAGAGAGATAGCTGGTTGGATAAAATCTCGATGGAAGCTATATCTCCACGGCTAAGGAGGAGCACATCATCGACAAATGCAAGGTGGGTGATGCCTAGGTTCTCACATTTGGGGTGATGGGTGAACCGAGAAGCCGTAGTAGCTACTCGGAGCAATCAAGAGAAATATTCCATACAAAGCACAAAGAGATAGGGAGAGAGGGGATCCCTTTGCCTAACACCTGTCGCACCCGAAAAGAACTCAAACATGTTCCCATTAACCGAAATGGAGTATGAGGCCGACTTAACGCATGCACTTATCCAAGTAACAAATCTATTCGAAAACCCCAACTATAAGAGCAGCCTATTTTAGAAAACCCCATTGCACCGAGTCAAAGGCCTTACGGAAGTCTATTTTCAGCAGGCATCATGGAGAAGCTCTCTTACAACCATACATACGGAGCGGCTCCCGAACTAGGCAAATGTTGTCGGACATTTTCCTACCGTCAAGGAAGGCGTTCGCATGGGACCGATAATCTCCGAAAGGGCTTGGGAGAGCCTAGATGCAATAATCTTGGAAATTACCTTGTCTATTACATTACAACAAGCAATCGGTCGGAAGTCACTAAGCAAGGTAGCATTGGCCTTTTTGGGGACTAAAGTGAGCACATAGTGGGCGACTTGCTTCAAGAGGCGACCGGATACAAAAAAATCCTAAATGGCTGCACGTAAATCCCTACCAACTATATCCCATGCTTGTTTGAAGAAAAAGAAGAATAACCATCCGGACCGGGGCCGACTCATTATCTATACCGAACGAGCACTCGCTTAATTATAGCCTCCGAGATGGGCGCAAGAAGAAAGGCATGATGGGTGGAGGATAACCGAGGCCCGATAGCTACAACAGGTAGGGTCGAAGGGAGCGAGTGTCCAAGGCCGTACCCAAGAGGTTCGATAGTAAGAGACCGGCTCCGCCGCCACTTCTTGGACCGAGGAGGTAAGACGCCCATCCGTCCTTTGGAGGGCTATAATGTAGTTGCCCTTGTGCTTCGGTTTAGCGAGCCCATGGAAAAATCCGGCACTCTTGTCCCACTCTTTCGAAACTTACACTTCAATTTCGACTAAAGAACATCTTTTTGAAGGATTTAAGATGAACCAAAGCTAGACGAAGCCTCTTTTCCGTCAAGCACAAGGTCTAAGTTATCCCTATCATGCTCGAAGTGCTAGCCGGATGTCGACCAATTTTGATTCAGCCCGAGTCACTCTTTGGGAGATATGGCTGAAATGGAGAATGTTTAGCTTCTTGAATGACTCGCTTTAATAACTTCAACTTTCGATAGAGAACAAACATGGGAGAGCCATGGAAGCCGCTCGCCCAATCGTCGGTGACAATTTGGGGGAAATCCACATGCGCCGTCCACATGTTGAAGAATTTGAAGCTACGAGTACCAATCTGCCTACTATTGTGCAACTTCACCAATACGAGTTGCATGGTCCGAGAAAGCCCTAGGGGAGAGAAATGCACATGAGATGGTATATTCGCGGAGGACCAAAGAGGATTAGTCAAAACATGGTCAATCTTTGTCCATACCGCCACCCCACTCCATGTGAAGTGGCTCCCCGTGTATGTGAGGTCGGATAGCCCAAGGTTAGAGCAACAAGCCCCGAAATCGGTCGTTTCATAATTGGACACAACGGCTCCCCCATGTTTATCGGCTTGGTATAGGATTGAATTGAAGTCCCCCAAGAGGATCTAAGGCCCATTCGGCTACCAATGATGAAGGTCTTCCCACATCTTACGTCCGGCGATGATGGTATGCAAACCATAAACAAACGTGGCATAGAAGGTAGTCCGCTACACAAAGTCTTTGAGCTGAACATGTAGACCTTGGATGGACACATTCAATAGATCAACAATCACGAGTCTTGGGGTTCCGGAAAAGGACTATGTGGGTTATCCCCGCAATCGAAACATTAGAAAGGAAGTGCCAATTCTTGAACCGAAGTTTATGCATATTGATAAGTTTCACAGAGGTAAGTTTTGTTTCCATAAAGGCACAAATATCTACCCGTTTCTTTTGCATAAGGCGGACTTCCTTATGTCGCTTCGCAGGGCTATTAAGCCCCCGACATTCCAGCCTAGAAATGATCATCTTTGAGCTAAAGAGGCTAAGCCCCTTCGACTCGTATGTTGGCTTGTCCTAACCTCTCTTCGACGGCTAGCTTTGGCTCAATCACGGTAGCGGCAATCTAAGTCCCTTGTCCGATCGGGGGAGGCCTACCGGAAGTCCCCAAGGTGGTCGGGTCGGGACTACTTTCGGCTTCTCTAACGGTGGAATGTTCCATGTTAGGAGGGTGATCCTTGTCACCGATACCTTCGCCCAAAAGAGTGCTACTCGGCCTTCCTCAATTTTGCTTAGAGGACCAATCGGACTTGCAAGTCGATTTAGGTCTAACTCATCCGCCGGATAGGGAGGTACGGCGAGCCTTCATTGGGAATAAGCTATCCAACCCGATCACAAGTAGTGTCATTGACCACCCCGGGCCTTTGCTCGAATGGGGTCATTTGCACTTGGGAAAGAATCCGGATCGGTTCCAGCTTCTTGCAGACACTCGCTTCCCTTTATCCCTTACCACAGGGGAATGCTTTTGCCCAAAAATTGTCTCCCACTTCTTTGAGGCATCGGCTACTTCAATTAGCATGGGATCAACTATCTTCGGAGCCTCTACCAAGCTAGCAAGTGGCGTAAGCACCGACGAGTGGCGGAAGCATCAACCGTGGCGGATACACCCGACCTCCGGAATACACTTGGCTTAGTCGATCCGCTATCTTCAACATTTCGAGTAGTGATCGCCCGATCCCCCTCTTGAGTTGGTTGAACTTTACACATTGCGAGTAGAGTGCCCAAGCACACGGTAGTGCTTACAATGGGTTGGGGGAGTCTCATATACTACCGGTTGTAGGAGCTTGGTCCCATTGGGAAGTAATATACCGATTATCCGAGGTAGAGTATCCATTATGTTCAACTCCACCAAGCACTCTAGCATAGGATAGTCGGTCCATGGAAGCTCGTTAGTCTATCACATTGGATTGGCGTGCCAAGCATACTAGCAATCTTCGATAAACATACGGGGGACTAGCATTTTAACGGCAAATTAGGGAGCTTGACCCAAACCGAGCACAAGTAGACATCTCATTTGTGGAAAAGTCAAAATATTTAGACATGGGACGCAAGATTAATGCCCGACCATAAATTAAATACGACCCCCGTTAAGCACCGCTTCATTGTCTGCACTGGGATTGGAATTTATATATAAGCCACCCGGAATCATGCATTGTTAGGGAAGCATTACATTTCCAATTATCCTTAATAAGGCCATTTAGTGCCCGAAGCCCGGACTCTTACTAGCAACATAACCCATAAGACAAGTTTTCCATAATTCACGAGTTGGCATCATCATTAAGCAAGAGACATTGTTTTGTTTCGGTTATAGCGAGTAATGAGACAATTTAGGGCATAGAGCCGAGTTGCGATTACTTATAAATAAATCTCGCCACTTGCTTGTTGGATGAGTGAGGGATGCGGGAGCATCCGCCTTGGCACCAATATATGTCGAAGGCCTTTGCACGAGCTGTCACTTCCATTGAAGGGGAAGGAAGGGTGGGGTTGACAACCGGGAGCAATGTGGCAGTTGGAGCACTTGAGGGATAGGAAGGCACTCTTGCAACGAGCAGTTGTGTGGCGGGTGTCGAATCGGCTCCTAAGGACCGAGCCCCAGGGGAGTCGGTAAAGAGATGAGATTGAGACACGTGATCACCTTCCGATCCCGAAAAGTCCACTTCCTCCTCACCGAAGTGGTCTTCATCGGAGCACTCTTCGACAATCACGGAATCGTGATAAGGAACAAGGTCAACTTGTTTAACTAAGAGAGGGCTAGTGGAAGTGCCACATTAGGGCGCTAGGGTTTTGCCCGAATTGGGATGGGGCGGGATCGATGCTCGTTGAAAAGGGGGAGGCGTAGCGGGAGCTTCGAGGGCAATAATAGGGATGTCGATTCTCATGCTTTGGCGGCCCTAGAATGCGATGTCGGAGACTTTCGTTTTTTCTTGGCCATAAGTGAATTGGACAGATTGACGGGTTGAGAAAGAAAAGGGGGGGGGCGGGGAAATAAAGTACGTGGATGAGAGAGGGGCTTAGAAAATGAGGTGCGGTGGAAGATTAGAGCCGACCGTTCATTAGCAAGTCGAAACCGAGAGGAAAGATCTCCATGAAGGAGGAGGCGTCTCTCTCCTCTTTCTCTCTCCTTGACTTGACTATTCAAAGCTCTTTCTTGATTCTATGGGTGGTGGTGCATAGCCGTTCTTAGTTAATGGAGGGATTTTTCCGGTTAATTTCATTAACGAACGAGACCTCGGCTCGCTAACTAGTTATGCAGAGGTGACCCTCCGTGGCCGGCTTCTTAGAGGGACTATGGCCTTCCGAGGCTAAGGAAGTTTGAGGCAACAATAGGTATGTGATGCCCTTAGATGTTCCGGGCCACACACGTGCTACACTAATGTATTCAACGGGTCTATAGCCTTGGTCGATAGGCCCGGGTAATCTTTAAAATTTCATCGTGATGGGGATAGATCGTTGCAATTGTTAGTCTTCAACGAGGAATTCCTAGTAAGCGTGAGTCATCGGCTCATGTTGACTACGTCCTTACCCTTTGTATACACCACCCATCACTCCTACCGATTGAATGGTCCGATGAAGTGTTCGGATCACAACGACGTGGGCTATTCGCCACCGACAATGTTACGAGAAGTTCATTAAACCTTATCATTTAGAGGAAGGAGAAGTCGTAATAAGGTTTTCGTAGGTGAACTCCGCGGAAGGATCATTGTCGAAGCCTTCCTAGCGAACGACCTACGAATTTATGGTTGAGCATGCTAGGGCCGTAGGTGGCTCTTGGCCCCGACATCCCTCGGGGCCGCAGAAGGGTGCATCCGCACCCAACGCAGCTTGAAAACAAACCTCGACATGAGAAGTGCCAAGGAACTAGAGTACGAAAAGCACGCCCCCGTCGCTAAAGGGTGCTCTAGGGGTGCGTCTCCAATTCACGATAAGCTAAACGACTCTCGGCAACAAATATCTCGGCTCTTGCATCGATGAAGAACGTAGCAAAATGTGATACTTGGTGTGAATTATAGAATCTCATGAGCCATCAAGTTTTTGAAAGCAAGTTATGTTTCATGTATATCTCGACTCATGGCCGAGGGCACGTCTCGCTTGGGTGTCACGCATCATTACCCCCAAACCCCCTCGACTAACGATGGTGGAGGGCCGATACTCGGTCTCCTACGTGTGCTTACGCTTATGATTGACCTAAAATTGAGTCCTTGGCAACGGCCGCCACAACAAACGATGGTTGAGAGAACCTTCGAAAGCGATCGTACGCATGCCCTATTGTGTTTTGGGATATCCAAGACCCTCGAGCATCATCGGCTTTGCTAGGATGCTCTCGCTGCGACCCCGGGTTAGGTGGGACTACCCGCCGAGTTTAAGCATATCAATAAGCGAGAGGAAAAGTAACTTACAAGGATTCCCTTAGTAATGACGAGCGAATCGAGAGTTGCCCGACTTGAGAATCGAGCGTCCGTGGCATTTGAATTGTCTTCGGAGAAGCGTCCTCGGGGATGGACCGGGCCCAAGTCCCCTAGAAGGAGGCACCGGAGAGGGTGAGAGCCCCATCGTGGCTGGACCTTGTTGCACCACGAGAGCTATCTCGCAAGTTTGGTTGTTTGGGAATGCGGCCCCAATCGAGCGATAGAATTCGTTCAAGGCTAAATACGAGGCTAGAGACCGATATCAAAAAAGTACCGTGAGGGAAAGATGAAAAGGACTTTGAAAGAAGAGTCAAAGAGTGCTTGAAATTGTCGGGAGGGAAATGGATAGGGGTCGACGATGTGCCCCGGTCGAATGTGGAACGGTGCCGGCCGATCCGTTGATCGGCTCGAGGCGTGGATCAATAGGATTGTAGTGGCGACCCAAGCCCAAGCTTTTGAAATGCTTACGGAGATGATGTCATCATAATTATGGACTACGGCATGCACGCGTCTCGACGTGCCTCGGCACCGGCGTGCTTCGAGCATCGACTCGTTGGCTCTCCATTCGTCCCGTCTTGAAACACGGACCGAGGAGTCTAACATGTGTGCGAGTCAATGGACAAGTAAACCCGTAAGGCACAAGGAAGGCGATTGGCGGGATCCCATTGAGAGTTACACCGCTAACCGACTATGATCTTATGAGAAGAGTTCGAGTGGGAGCATGCCCGTCGAGTGGGGCGAAGCCGGAGGAAACTCGGTGGAGGCCCGCAGCGTGATACCGACGTGCAAATCATTCATCTAACTTAGGTGTAGGGGTGAAAGACTAATCAAACCATCTAGTAGCTAGTTCCCTCCGAGGTTTCCCTCGGGGTAGCTAGAGCTCAACGTGAGTTCTATCGAGTAAAGCCAATGATTAGAGGCATTAGGGGCGCAACACCCTCAACCTATTCTCAAACTTTAAATAGGTAGGATGGTTCGTGCTGCTTCGTTGAGCCGTTCCATGAAATCAAGAGCTCCAAATGGGCCATTTTTGGTAAGCAAAACTGGCAATGTGAGCTGAACCGAAAGTCAAGTTACGGTGCCCAACTGTACACTAACCTAGAACCCATAAAGGGTGTTGGTCGATTAAGATAGCAGGATGGTGGTCATGGAAGTTAAAATCCATTAAAGAGTGTGTAAAAACTCACCTGCCGAATCAACTCGACCCTAAAAATGGATGGCGCCGAAGCATGTGACCTATACCCGATCGTTGAGGAAAGCGCCGAGCCCCGATGAGTAGGAGGGCGCGATGGTTGCTACAAAACCTAGGGTGCGTGCCCGAGTGGAGCGGCCGTCGGTGCGGATCTTGGTGGTAGTAGCAAATATTCAAATGAGAACTTTGAAGGCCGAAGAGGGGAAAGGTTCCATGTGAATGACACTTGCACATGGGTTAGTCGATCCTAAGAGACGGGGAAGCCCGTACGATAGTGCGTTTGCGTGTGAGCTTCGAAAGGGAATCGGGTTAAAATTCCTAAACCGGGATGTGATGGCTAACGGCAACGTTAGGGAGTTCGGAGACGTAGGCGAAAACCTTGGAAAGAGTTATCTTTTCTGTTTAACTGCCCGCCCACCCCGGAAACGACTTAGTCGGAGGTAGGGTCCAGCGGCTGGAAGAGCATCGCACATCGCATGGTGTCCGGTGCACCCTCGGTAACCCTTGAAAATCCAAAGGATCGAGTGCCTCCCACGCTCGATCGTACTCATAACCGCATCAGGTGTCTAAGGTGAACAACCTCTCGGTCGATCGAACAATATAGGCAAGGGAAGTTGGAAAAATGGATCCATAACCTTGGCAAAAGGATTGGCTCGAGGGTCGGGCTTAGGGGTCCCGAGCCTCGAACTTATCTGGCCATCGACGGATCGCTCGAGCCGCTCCCATGGTGAGAGCGGGCCATCGTGTGCCGACCAAGGGACGGCTCGGGAACGGCCCATTCGAGGGCCTTCCCCGAGCATCAAACAGTTGACTCAGAACTGGTACGGATAAGGGGAATTTGACTATTTAATCAAAACAAAGCATTACGATGGTCCTTGCGGATGCTCACGCAATGTGATTTCTGCCTAGTGCTCGAATGTCAAAGTGAAGAAATTCAACCAAGCGCGGGTAAACGATGGGAGTAACTATGACTCTCTTAAGGTAGCTAAATGCCTCATCATAATTAGTGACACGCATGAATGGATTAACGAGATTC